CAGCCAAAGATGGAGAAGCTCTATATAGTCAGCAAAAACAAGACCTGGAGCTGATTGTGGCTCTAATCATCAGCTTCTTATAGCAAAACTCAAGCTTAAACTGAAGAAAGTAGGAAAAACCACTGAGCTAGTCAGGTACAATCTAAACCAAATCCCTTATGAGTACACAGTGGAAGTGAAGAACCAATTTAAGGAACTAGATTTGGTGGACAGAGTGCCTGAAGAACTATGGATGGAGGCCCGTAACATTCTATAGGAGGAAGCAACAAAAACCATCCCAAAGAAAAGGAAATGCAAGAAAGCAAAGTGGCTGTCCAACAAGGCCTTACAAATAGCAGAGAAGGGAAACAAAATGCAAAGGAGATACAGAAGGTTACAGAAAACTGAATGCAGACTTCCAAAGAATAGCAAGGAGAGACAAGAGGGCCTTCTTAACTGAACAGTGCAAAGAAATAGAGGAAAATAATAGAAAGGGAAAAACCAGAGATCTGTTCAATAAAATTGGAGATGTTAAAGGAACATTTTGTGCAAAGATGGGCATGATAAAGGACAAAAATGGGAGGGACCTCACAGAAGCAGAAGACATCAAGAAGAGGTGGCAAGAATACACAAAGGAATTCTACCAGAAAGATTTGGATATCCCGGACAACACGGACAGTGCAGAATACATCATGCGAAAGGCTGGACTGGAGGAATCCCAAGCTGGAATTAAGATTGCCGGAAGAAATATCACCAACCTCCGATATGCAGGTGAAAGAGGAGAGTGCAAAAAATAGTATGAAGCTCAACATAAAAAAAAACTAAGATCATGGCCACTGGTCCCAGTGGAGGCAGTGACAGATTTTACTTTCTTGGGCTCCATGATCATAGCAGATGGTGACAGCAGCCACAAAATTAAAAAACTCCTACTTAGGAGGAGAGCGATGACAAACCTCGACAGCATCTTAAAAAGCAGAGACATCACCTTGCTGACAAAAGTCCACATAGTCAAAGCTATGGTTTTTCCTGTAGTGATGTATGGAAGTGAGAGCTGGACCATAAAGAAAACTGACTGCCGAAGAATTGATGCTTTTGAATTGTGGTGCTGGAGAGTCCCCTGGACTGCACGGAGAACAAACCTATCCATTCTAAAGGAAATCAACCCTGAATGCTCACTGGAAGGACAGATCCTGAACCTGAGGCTCCAGTTTTTTGGCTATCTCATGAGGACTCCCTAGAAAAGACCCTGATGTTGGGAAAGTGTGAAGGCAAGAGGAGAAGGGGATGACAGAGGACGAGATGGCTGGACAGTGTCATCGAAGCAACCAACATGAATTTGACCAAACTCTGGGAGGCAGTGGAAGACAGGAGGGCCTGGCGTGCTCTGGTCCATGGGGTCACGAAGAGTCGGACACGACTAAATGACTAAACAACAACAAAGCTGCTTTTGTGAGCAACGATATTACTGATTTTTCCCTTGTCACTATTTGCTTCTAGGCCTATTAAGCATGGCTGATATTTTACTTCAACTCAACTTCTGTTCATTATTATGCAGTCCTGTGCATTCTCCCCACAGAGAGAGGAGTTTACTGCCAGGCTACCAGCTCCCATTAACCATATTACTGTCCCAGATTGTAACTTAGCACAGATCTGAGACATGCCAAATAACAATAACAGTCACAGGCTTCTTGGATTATTGTCTTTACCGTAAGATAATTTCAGTAAAATTGCTGAACTAGTTAAAAGAAATCACTCCCGCAAACATTCCCTTTATAGGGAACATTATCAAATAGTAGTAACTACCAATATACCCCAATAATTGTCACAACTGTTCTTCCATAGATGCGTCTAGCTATGTAGTGGTGCTGCTCAGCTCAATGAGATAATGTCGCAAGTTGCACTATTTTAATTACCTGATCCAGAAAAAGGATTTACTGTCCCCTCTTTTGCATGTTTATCCACAAACAAGTCCCACTTAAATTAGCAGGGTTGGTTGCCCAATAATCTTTGGCTGATATCCTGCTGCTTAGTACCTATAGTAAGAACACTAGAGTAGGCTCACTTAATCAGTGAAGACTTGGTGAATCAACTCCTCCATAAGTTCCATTCATTCATATGGGCTGACTCTAGTTGTAACTTATTACTATGTTACAGTAAGTTACAACTGGAGTAGGGCCATTTGAGTCAATGAAACTGATGGAGTATTTGACTGTCCAAATCCTCACTTAGAAGTGATGAAAAATTCTTTAACAACATTACCTATTCCTTTCTGTAATACATCAGAGCTATCACTATAGGTGGCTAGTGTCAGGAAACTGCTAAAGGAAGAACTATTATCATTTAAAAAGCCATGAAACAGTATGAAACAGTTGTGTCCAGTAGCAAAGGATTTGTCATTTTTGTGTCTTCAGCATTCTGTTTTTTAATGTGCTTTGATAACAAACATTTCTCTAGTCTTAACTTTTATTTTTACTAATTGCAATGGTAATTTGATTATCATTCTGTTTATCTAAATATTAATCTTGCAGACACACAAATAACAAGTGTAACCAAAAGCAAGGTGTGTTAGTAGAAATCTGTTTATTTGATCCTCTATTTTCACAATAATTCTCAATTGCTGTTTACACTAGAGATTCTTCTGACAGTAAAACAGAAGGGGAAAATACCTTAACGTATTCTCTAAGTGCATTTAACAGGTAAAACAAATGACTGTCTGCTGATTTCTACTTCAAAATAAGAGTCATCCATTTTAAAAAGCTGATTTTAATGTCAGATGTTCTGTCATTTACATCTTCTGTTTTCTCTGTCTCCTTTTCAGCCTTATTTTTCAACTGGCTTTCATATATCTCCTGTGCACGTGCAATTTCTTTGCTGGCATTAAAATGTACCATCTGTCTGCTGAGAATAGGGACAATTAAGTTGAAGTCATTAACTCTTTTGTTCAATGCCTTGATGTTTTCTATAAACTGTTCACATCCCTCCTTCCATTGTGTTTCTTTTTGTGGGGTCATTGGATCTCCTAGTTTATTCCTAAAAACTACTATATCTTTTCTTAGTTTTTCAATGGTTTCCCGTATTTCTTTCTGCATGAGAATCCATTCTGGTTGGTATCCATTGTCTATCAGGATTCGGTTCAGATTGTGAGTCATAGGATCGATATGTGGACAGTGTGAAAATTTCTGCAGTGGCTTTCCTTTGCCACTAAGATTATCAAAATCTCCTTTTGCCATAGATTCCTGAATGAGGTCTTCAACCAACCGTTCAATGGCTTGGGTGATTTTTGCTTTCTTACTTTGCCTTACATCTTTAGCTAACATAGTTTCATTCATAGCAAGCTGCCTCTCCATTCTTTGCTTTCGATATTCCATGACCTGTTCAGAAGCCCGATCAACTCTAAATTGTGTATACTGCTTTTGTCTTTGACTTGGAGTTCCATAACCAATACCTTCAAAATTTAAATACTGCCTGTGTTGTGCTGCTTTAGGCTTAAATTTATCTTCCTCGTCCTCCTCTGCCTTGTCTCTTGATTTTGTTATCTTGGCAACATCATTAAGTACAATTCTATACGCTTCTTCAATTCGTACAAAAGTTGCAGAATCTGCTGTAGGTGATCCACTGTCAGGGTGATATTGCTTGGCAAGTTCTCGATATGAATTTCTGGCATCATCAAGCGAACATCCTTCCTGAAGATTAAGCAACCTGTAAGAGTCTTTAATGTTCTTAAGTCTGTGATCTGACAGCAGTCTGTGGCCATAGATAAAGTAATGTGGAACTGGTTTGCTTTTCTTTGGGACCAAAACTGAAAATATCCAGAGGTGGCATTGTATGTTTCTCATCAGCACCACACAGGGCCACTTCATAGTTCTCCAGTATAACTATACAGTAGTTGCAAATCTGAACAAGTCCAAATAAAACAATAAATAAATAAATAAATAGATGTTTTAATTAACAACAATTTAATTAAATTTAACAAGTTAAATTAACTTTTTTGGGTTTCTTGTCTGTGAGAGGGTTTTAGAAGAGAGAGGTTCAGACTTGTTACTCCTATTAGACTCACATTATTTATTCAGCAACAACAGAGAGAGCTGTGTAGTTCTTACACAATGCAAATGCAGGAAAGGTGATACCTTTATGTTGGACCACATGTCTCTCTCTGTTGTTGTAACTTCTGAGGATACCTGAAAAAGCCTCCCTCCAGCACCACTGAGGAGAGGATGTGGATGTATGGACTCTTGACATCAACCAAGCTGGACTGCAGACTGAGTATAACATCTGCTTATACACTCACCAGGTAACATATTGCTGTAATTGGGATTTCCCCCTCCCAGCTTTATGATGCAGACAGCTGCATTTCTGCATGGCCTTTTTCCCATTCCCCATGCCAAAAAGGAAATGTGCTTTCCTAAACAGATGTTTTGTGTATGTGTGTGTGTGCGTGTGCGGGGAGAAGTATATTCAGGGGCTGCCTTCTGTCTGAATAGCTGCTTGGAAAATTTCAACCTCAAGTTACCAGGCTGAAGCATTAAACCACAGACACCCCTGAGCCAGTTGCAACCACCTTAAGGTGACCTCACCTTAAGAAACATATCTGGCATATTATTACTTCAGAAGCCATGTTTCTGTGTTTTATAATATAATTCACAATGTTGTTGCAGGTACTACTATGGTTTTCACATTTCCAGACATTGGATTTTCCTCGCAATACCAATCACTTCTCTTTATGAACTTCTAAGGATATAGTCCATCTCCATATAGACTCCATAAATTGTATATGCAACTCATTAAAAACCAGTTAAAATATGCAATGCCATTTCTAACATTAATTAATTTGAATAATAAATTATTAAATATTTCAACCAGATATAAAGAGACCATGAATACTTTACCTTCCATTCTTCAATAAGCAACACAGTTGTTCTGCATGTCTTGAAAGTATGGGATTCTTCGATTAGCTTCTTTTAAACAATGGAAAAAAGAAAATTCCCATCAAAAATACAGGTGACTTAAGTGACTAGCTGTACACCAATTAAACCATTCTGTTAGCTGAGCAGGATGTATGATTAATTCCTCATATACCATGTTAATAACCATTACTTTCACTTGATGTGCTTTTTAGATAGTTCCATCTTTGGGCATGTAAGATACAAAAGAGAATGAGGACCACACAGAAACTAGTACTGTACATGTATTTGCATTTAAAACAGAGCTAAACTGACAAACAAGAAAGTCTCATTTGTTCTGGTTGTTCTGTGGCTTATTTCTTAAAATGGAGGTGGTTGAACCTGAGCTTTTTTACAATTAAGTTGTGCTACTTGGAACCCCCCCCCCCAAAAAAAAACAAGCAAGAGTAGTTGTGGTTATTGGGAAGCAAGAGAACGGCATCCAATATGTTTTCAACTTTGCCCTTCACATGTCACATTAGTTTAATCTCTTAAATTGGCATCCTGTTGGTACTGTGTAGTGTGAACTGGAAAACATGCAGGTTGTGTGTGCAACCTTGCCAGATGCTTGGCTATGCCTGTGTTGCACAATTGGTTGGGTAGTCAGTAATGCAAATTGGGGGGAAAAAGAACATTTGTGCAGTTGCTCTTATTTGCACAGTATTTCATGATAGAATTTTGGTCTTAAATGTTTAAAAGGAGGTTCAAAGCTGCTTACACTTTTACCTAACATGCTATATTTATTTATTTATTTAACTTATATGCTGCCCAGAGACCTTTGGGTAGTGTGGGTGGCATATAAGTTAAATAAATAAATAAAAAAAAATATGATTTATCTAAATTGAATTATTTAAATTACATTTCAGGAAAATTAGGGGATTTTCTTTGGTTTTTATAAAAGAGCTAAAATGGGAACAAGAAAAGTTTCATGTCTTATTTGCTCCTTGTCATTACAACAAATTTCACTAAATATTTGAAAGCAGAGTAGAGTTTACCGTGGTTACGCTTTGGGTGTCATTTTCCTTTTAGATATGTCACATAGTTCAGATCATATGCAGAAATGGCTCCTTTATTAAAGAATAATTTAAAAATCTTTGCTTGATTATACTGCATTAAAAAAAACCTGTCTCCATCTTTGTTTTCTAAATTTACCAACACAAGTATATTTAGAAATACAGTGAGCCCCACTGAGTCTGACGGTTTTTACTCCAAGAAAAGTGGATAAAGGATACCGGCTGGAAGCTCTTTTAATAATAAAGTTCGGGGCACGTTAAGGCTAACGATTTTGGTTTGGCATAAACTTCTGTGAACCCTACTAGCACAACTCGGCTAGGCTCCGTGACAGGTTATGCCAAATAAAAGTTGCTAGCTTTTAAGGTGCCATGAGAGCCCAACTAGCAAAGCTACCCTGACAGCACACACACTGTACTCGGCTGTTTTTAAAAAAAAGCAACAGAAGCCATGTAGGAGACTCCTCGTTGTTTCCCCTTGGGAGGCGTGGAAGAAAGGAATTTAGATATATTATGCTTAGTGGCACATCCTACTGAAGGCAGCTAAAATACCAATACCACCACACCATCACCACCAGCCCTCCTGCCGTGGTTTTTAGTCACTGCCAACCTGAACACCCCGGCCTCGTCCTACCATTTCACTTCCCCGGTCACTGTTTAGATTGCTAAAGCCAACCCTTCCCCGAAACCCTTTGCTCGGCTCCCCGCTCTTCCTTTCCTCAGGGCAACACACAGCTAAGCTCCCGGGAAAGAAGAGTCTTGTGACACCTTAAAGACTACCAAGTGCCAAGGGGTAGCGCCGGTCGCCTCTAATGTCCGTCAGATCCCTCCCGCCTCACCTCCGCTTGAGGCCCGGCAATAGGTGCCCGCCATATTTTATGTACACAGTATTTATCGTTTTATCCTTTCACGATCGACCTTTCCATAACAGCCATCGAGGAGGTTGTCAATACAAGACCGCCCCCATGGCCAAAGGGCTACACATGTCGTCTGTTGTTCCGCTTGGGATTATGGGAGACGTAGTTCTTGCAAGGAGGCGTTTCTGCCCGCTGTTCCCAGGGAGCCAATCATCGTGGACTATACAATAGCGAGTCTGGGATGTTCTGTGAAGGGGTTCTCCGGGAGGGGGAGGACCATTCGAAGGAGAGTAAACGCAGATAATTTACCTCCGCCTCCGAGGGTGGCAGCTCCAGTTTATTAAAAATCACAAAACAATGTTAACCGAGGGCTGGGGGGATTATTTGTCTCCTTAGAAGCCTGGTGATTATCATCCTGCCTGTCAAAGCCATTTTGTGTAATTTGTACTTCAAAGTGTTCATAAAAGCCGTCTGCAGCTGTTTTTTCATACATTTTTAATTCGCTATTAACAATTTGTATAGTCCCATCTACGATTTTCCAAAGCAAGTGTTCATCGGTGACACACAAGACTTTTATTTTTGTTGCGACAGACTAAAGTGACAGAGGAAATCGAGATAGGGAGAGCAATACAAGGATGTGTACTCTCCACAGTATTTTTCAATTTGGACTTCCAAGAATATCTTTAGAAAAGCATTTGCTGATTCAATTTTCAGTGGATAAATTATTTATAATATTGAACAATATAATATGTGAGCAATGTTGTTAGCTAACGGTTCAAAGCAGCTCCCTTCTTTTCCTGCCAAAGCATGGTGAATTGTAGCTCCTGAATTCTCCAAGAAAGGTGATTTGCCTTTTAAATAGGTCACACACACCACTTAATATCCCCAAATACGTATCAGTTTTTCAAAACTAGACATTGACTTTTGACTAAAGTGACAGAGGAAATCGAGATAGGAAGAGCAATACAAGGATATGTAATCTCCACAGTATTTTTCAATTTCAATACCCCCAAATATCAGTTTTTCAAAACTAGGCATTTCTTTGATATTTGGGGTAGTCTGTGCAGCACCCAGAGGTTTCCGCAAACAAAAAAATGGCCCAAGAGTAAACAAAGTTCCCTAGTTTAGACAGCCTATAAAGATTACTCAGTAAAGTTAGTGAAGTGATGAACATAGTCTTAAAAACAATGTTAAAAAATCAAGTTCACGGTAATTGGTAAAAAGTAAGCAGCCCAACAAATTCAGCTAGCGACTGCATGGAGTTTGTTGACAAATGTAAGTGCCTTGCAATTGGCTTGAATAAACAATTGGCCACTTGCCTAAGACAAAGAATGTACATAATATGTTCCAAAAACCTAATGTTCATTTTGAGAATGTGCATTATAAAGTGCTATATATTCACAATTCTATTGCATGTCAAGGAATTGTGGACTCTAGCAAGGACAACCATAAAAATGTGAAAGCATTTGAGATGTGGATTTGTCACAGGATGCTAGGAATTCCCAGGACATAGAGGAGGACCAAAGAAAAAGTACTGCAACCAATAATAAGATGTGTAAAATTCAGGGAAGTAGAAGACGTAAAGTCACGTAATAGGAAACAGAAAGTACCAAGTGTTACAGCCTGTTGTTCAAGGTAAAAGAAATGGGGAAAGAAATGAAGGAAAGAACTTATGAACTGAAAAACCTGGGAGACTGGTTTGGACAGGATAGATCATTATTAGACTTGCCACATAGAAAATCAAGATGTCCAACTTCCAGTACAGAAGCAACAAGAAGAAGAGTTTATCACACATTAATTAATTGACTCACAGCCTGTTTTTTTTTTTATCACAGGAGCCCAGTTGTGGCAGTGTGATCAGCAGTATACAAGTACTTGTGAACATTTGCAAAGTGTGTCTCCTAAGTCCAGACAAATAAACATACATAAAGAAACATACATAAACAATTCTAAAAAGTTGTCCCTAACCAGCTATTTTCCCCAGGCATGGTTGCTAAACTTCCAAGTAGAAGTTCAGAGTGAATGGATGTCCAGTAATATCCTGACGGCCAATTAGAAGATCTATAACCCTGTCTCACCAAGCTCATCCATCCCAATGCGTGTAAGTGTCTATGAATTTTAAGACAAAAACATTAATTGAAGAAAAGTTAATAAGTTTAAATGCTTTTAATTACAATGGATAGGAAGGAGATCAATTGAATGCAGTGGGTTTTAATCCAAGTAGGATGTGCTATAAATAAATATAGTGCCTTGAACTTTTCCTGCTTCCTTTTAAGCATCTTGCAGTGTTCATATGTATAGGAAGTGAATAATGATTGAACACAGTACTTATCAGGTAAGGGTGATAAAACATAATGAACTTCCACCTTGAGTCCAGGGGTCAGACATCTGAAGAACTGCTTTTCTAAAGCAAAAAAATCTCCATTGTTTTAAAACTATACTTTCCCCTAGGGGTGTTATTTTAAATGGAAGTTATCATGTCATAAATTAAATGATCTGGAGCTTTTTTGGTTGAGGGTTTAAATTATAGAGCAACACAGCATTCTAGGTATGGTGAGGTGGCAAGGTCTTTGTGGCAAAGACCATATATCTGTATGCATGGGATCAAGGGGAAAGATTTCCGAGGCAGAATGTATTATTCACAGCAGAGACTGGAGTGCCCATCATCTTTTATCCAATGGCTGTGCTGGCTAAGGCTGAAGGGAGTTGCAGTCCACCAACATCTGGAGGTCCACAAGTGGTTCAATCCTTATAGGTCACCAGCTTCTGAGTGGCAGATATTTGAAATAAATAGCAGGAGAGTCTCCAAGCACACTCCAGATATGGTAGTATATCTGAGTCAATTCACATGGCTGGCCCTCTTTAACCATCACAGCTATGTGTGGTCTCTAGAGGGGAAAAACACACTAGATTTTGAGGAGTTTGTTAAGATTCTACAGTTACCATCTGCACAAAAAATTAAAAATGGGAAGGACATGTAATGTTGCAAACCTAATTCTTTATTAAAATTTCAGGATAGTGCACAGATGTTGTGGAAACATTTCCAGCCTCCAGAAATCTTGGTTTACTCATTTCTGCACAAGCCAATTTCGAGCAGTACTTCTGATGTTTTTAGATATCACAAATGAACCTTGTCATTCATTGGTGTCTGTTTCACAAACAAAATACTGTCAACTGCAAAATTGATCTTGCAATATATTGTTGCAGAATGTAATTTCTGGTAAAATTCCTTTTTGCTACAGAGTACTGTAGAAGTACAGAGATCCATAGAGGAGAATAGCTACAAGTTCCCCAGATAGTCCACCCCTTTCTCATTAACTGGCACTTAAAGTCCCACACATTGAGACATTTGCAGCAGAAAGATTTTTTTTAATTCTTTACTTATACTGTAGTAGGTTGAAATGATAAACTTGTGCATGCAGCTTTCTTTACTGTACTGCAACAACCAACTGAACAAATCAGCACCAAAAAGAAAATTTATTGCTTTCAACCAAGTGAGGAAAGGGAAAAGGTTCTCTTTGAAATTAAAGCCTGGAAGGAACAACTAGTTAGTGCTGGATAGAAACACCATAAAAGTCCCTTCCAGTCACACAAACCGCAGACAACATACAAGGTTCCAAACATCACATATATGGATCTATTACATTCTGATTTTGGCAATTTGGAATCCTATCTAATACTAGTTACTGGCTTACAATAGATCATAACCTTGACAAATTGTTTCCATATTTTTACCTCTTACTCAACCCATTTTTCCAGTTTGATATTTATTTGAGCCAGAGCAGTCTATAGTGCAATTAGTGCAAACACATTATATCATCCTTTTATGTGATTGGTCAGAACAAGATGGAATTTCAGGCAGTGGATTTTGTCAGCGGTCTGAACGGCAGCTTTCTCTCAAGCAAAGCCATTTCTTTCTTGAGCACTTTTGCATGTACCTTAATCTGGCATCATCTGAGGATTTTTGTTTTTACTACTGTTTACAATTTTGAGGAACACTGAATCTTAACTTCTGTAATTTCACACTAACTTAGAAATACTTGGTAAGTAATGTTTACATTTGCTATCATTATGAAAGAAATCTTTTCATGACAAGCTACCATAAAATATTTGCTCCTTCTAACAAGAGACTATTGAGTGCAGGTACTACAACATATTCTGTAAAGTGTATATTTGTTACAGTGTGAAAGAATGCAATGAATCGGACGAAAGTGTTTAGCTAAAAGGAAGATTACTGATATTTTTAATATGTAAGATGGCAATAATATTTTATTAGAAATTGTTGGTGATGATTTCTGCCCAAATGGATTGTTTCTATTTCCAGGAGTGGTGCCAAGAAAGCTGCCCTGTTATTAAAATGAAAGTTTATGAGAACCACAAAGAGTGAACAGTAGCACAGTTGCTATATTATTTGAAGAGGCTATAGGAGTATTGCTTCAAGTGCAGCCTGGTTAGAGGCACAAGACAGGTAAAAAAGTATTTCTAACATCAGCCATGACTAAAAAGATATTAAGTGATATGTGATAAAGTTATGCATGCATTTTGTTTCATTTTTTTTAAGGTAGTAGATGAACAGCTAGACAATTGGTTTGCTGGGAGGCATAGCATTTTGTGATCAAATTCTCTGCCTCCATCTCCAACCACCCAGGATAGGATATAAATTTGTATATTATGCAGATGAATGTGGATCATATTATGCAAATTACATTAATTTCTGTATTTTCTGTGTGCATTACTGGTGTGTATTAAGAAAAAAAATTATGGCTAATGCTACGTACAGGGACTTCTGAGGATGTGATCGTGAGATGACTGCCATTTTTTGCTATCACTTTTTAATGGTGGCAAAAAAGTAGAAATCTATGAGACTATTAAAGAAATTTCAGATGATTGACACAGTGATTTGAAAAGGGAAATGCAGGAAAGAGGGAGAGTGAGGGTGCAATCAGAAGGTGATTGGGCTCACTTGTTCAACTGCCTGCAGCACGGTCCATCTTGATCTGTGACCAGACAACATACAAGAGATCGCAAACCAAGCTTATCCT